GATACTGAAAAGGAGGATCAATCTAAAATCATCTATAATTTAAAACCAAAATAATAAAAAATTCAGCTAGAGTATACATTATACATTAGGAACAAATCCAGCAAAATTCCAGAACAGTTATTAAGCCTATAAGTGGCACCACAATGTGGCAAGAAGGAATTTTTGCCAGCCAAGAAACTGAATTAAATTCTTTGTAGAAAACTTTGGAAAAGTAAATTTGTACAGAGAGTTATGAAAAGAAAAAGCCAAATAGAATAAATTCTACAGCTTAAACCTAAAAGAAAATTAATGCCAGCCATGGGTGGCATCTACTTAAAAACACAAACATGTAATTGCTGGTCCTGTGAAAGCAAATATAATCATCACCAAGATTAGCTGTGTTACTGGAAAAGCATTTGAACACAAGTGACTCAAAAGAATTTGATCCTTTTAAAGTGTTTGTCACTCTACCAAAATGAGTACAATTTGGGCTATTCTCTCTCTCACCAAAGAGCCCTAATGCGCTAAATAATCCAATACAAGCTCCTGAAATGCAGGACTCAGAGGACTGTAAAATGTTTTCCTCATCAAATTCCAAAGTGCAGTCACTTTGTTCTCTCTGAAACTGCACAAAACATTCTGTATTTCAGAAGATCTTTTAGGAAGTTCTTCATTTCTCCACACAATGTTCCTATCTACATGCTACTAAAACTCTTGTGTCTGTAACCTTCAAATGGACGAAACAGCACGTATAGGGAACAGTTTTTGAAGAAAGGTACCTTAAATGACCTAACTTACAGAATGGATCCAAAACCTGGGATCCATTACTCCCATGGAATTGACATCTGGGAAATTTGGGGCACTTGTGCCGCCACAGTCAACCCAGGTCACGTGATTGTCATGGTTGTATCCCCAACCTCTTTCCCACCTCTCTGTCCCCTGCATCCAATCAGCTGGCTGCAAGGCCCAACAGGTGAGCAGCAATTGGCTGCTTTGGAAACAAGGCAGAAACTTTAAATCTATTAATGGTGGTGGGCATTGAGGGAAGGATAAGGGAGTGACTTGGATGTCTGCTGACAAGGTAGGGCCAGCTGAGGGGCACCGGTGGTCAATGGGTGAGCCGTCTTCCTTCCTCAAGGGAGGAGGCCCTTGGGGACATGCCAGAGTGGGGAGCAGGAATACAGTTTTCCTGACGGTCCACAGCTCCCTTTGTTTCACCTCCCCCCAGCAAAGCGGCAGGCAGTTCTGTGGGTCAGCCAAGGAGGAGGAGGAGGAAGAGGCTTCACCAGGGCTCTCCTGAGGTTCATGAAGGGAGGGCAAATGGCACAAGCCTATATTATATGTGGAAACGGAGGGAGGGAGATTTCTGATGCTCCCTGCCAGCTTCCCACAAGCAAAGTCAATGGAGAAGCCAGCAGCAAGTCCTAAGTTGCTCACACTCCCACTTTTTTTTTTTTTTTTGCCCTTGGTCATTCTGTTTCTCTGTTCAGGTAAAGAAATCTCTCTGAAATGATGACCCAATGGGTCACAGGTTGTCTAGTATAGGATAAAAATAAAAAGTAATTAATCCCTACTTAAATATTTTGTTATTTTCCTCCCAACCCTGATCTCAAATAAATGACAGTATTTAAGCCATGCATATGAATACAGTACCTGTTTCTTTTCAATGTTTGTTTTGTTCTTTTTTCTAACCATTATTAATTCTGTGTTTGTAATTTCTAAACAAGCAGATGAGCTTCTACAGATTTTCATCAAGATTTTTTTTTTGATACAGTAGACTGTTTCATGTTCACCCTACATTGTTTACTCATTTATTTCTACCAGCGTTTATAAGACCTTGCTTTTAAAAGTTCACGGACTTTCAGGGAACATTAATGATTTCAGAATTTAGAAACAAATGTATTTTTTCTATATTCATGATTGCCTGAGCCTTCAATATGCAATAAGTGGTCAGGACTGACTCCTGACCCATTATGCCAATAAAGCATACAGCATTCAGTTCACAAAGGCCATTAACACACAACTGCTATCTATAATATACAAAGTAAGAAATCTGTATGAATTAGATCAATTTATATTTTCTTTATCCAATGCATGCAAGCAACAAGAGTGGTTAATTTAAGCTGGGTTCACAAATCTCTAAGCCCCACTTTTTATATTAAGTCACAACTGTCTAGGTTCACAAAATATGCTAAACTATAAACATGACATACAACTCACTATGGCGGTTCCCACAGCATACTAAGCTAAAACACCATAGACTGTTTGTAAATAACAGTTCATGCTATTATTCAAGATTTGCAGATGCAGAATTAAATGCAATCATATTTGTTTTGAATATCTCTACTTTCTGGTCACTATTCTGATTTTCATAGTACTACACATCATACACTTCAGTGGGCAAGAACATCAGGATATTTTCTAAACTATTGATTATTGTTCTTGTTGTCTTCCAAGTTGACCAATTAATGCAAATAATTGTGCTTTTCAACAGAAAGACAAGAAAATAACCTACTGGTGGTTTACAGTCTAGCCCCTCACTCTACAATCTATACATACTACAGACACATTGCAAACATTCAGATGGAAGCGAGGTGATCAAAAACTCTGAAGCTAGGCAGGGAGGGGAAGCACAACTGAATTTTCGAAAATGAACTCCTTGAATATAACATCTCAGAAGGGCCAACTTTTAAGAAGTGTGTTTGAAAATGTTTAGATATTTGA